AGAAAGCAGCCCGTCAGCTGTCACGGGCTGCTTCCTGGGGGTGGAGGCCTGGTCGAGGACCGGGCCGCGGGGACACTAAAAAGCCCCGAAATCATCTCAAGATAACCTCAAGATAACAGCCGTTTTTTTTTTTTGAGTAAAGAAGGAGAGGCATAGGTGAAGGGAAGTGTAGAAGTGGGAAATACAGTGAGAGGTATGAAAGCAGGCGGGCTGTCCGCCTTGCTGACATTAACAGGCATTATAGAGAGTTACAATGACATTATTGAGAGTTACAATGACATTATAGAGAGTTGCGTGCCCTTAATAGTGAGCTCGTCCTTCTAAACTTGGAGTAGTTATGGTAATGATGTAGTCGATCTTGCCATGGAGGGAGTAACCCTCCAGGGGGTTTATAGGCCTTAGGCCCAACACCAGACCAAACAGTATGATGGAACAACCGAGAGCAAATGGTTGGTTGCCCAACCGTTTCGGAATATCAACACATACCTCTCCTCACCACCTACCTGGCTCATAGCTCCTCCTGGAGATGAGATGTTCTTGAAGTCGACTCACGCTTGTCATCTCACTAGATGGCGAGATACCAGCTAGCGCCTTCGATTGTCAAACGTTAAATTTGAAGTGGTTTTGTAGGTCTTAAAGCGTACGAATTCGGCCGCTCTCGTGACCGACAGAAGCCAGTGGTCATTAGTCCCATGGAACGTCAATATATCAATGCATCTAATTTCACTATACAGTCGGAATTCTGATGCTGTGTTCGATATCGTAAGAACTGTGATGCATCAGCAGTGATAACAGGTTCAGCTGTCGTGGCAGAAGCTCTTACGCCATGTGTAAGATGTCACCATCAATATCTTAAGACTTGCCAATGTCCGCACTCTTAACTCTGTCAGTAGATAAATAACACACCGTTAAAATTGAAAAAAAAACATTAATAATGTAGATTTAGTTTTTTCAACACGATAGACAAGATAATCTGTCTTGAAAATGACACTAAACGATTGAGGTCGTTCTGAGAAGCTGAAAGTCCTGATTCTCTTGTTAAACGTTAACAGCTGACGGAGGAACGAAGTGAGAGACCACCAGGAGAACCTTTAGACTGTGGTAGAGGTGCTTGACCCAGGAGAACCTTCAGACTGTGGTAGAGGTGCTTGACCCACGAGAACCTTCAGACTGTGGTAGAGGTGCTTGACCCACGAGAACCTTCAGACTGTGGTAGAGGTGCTAGACCCACGAGAACCTTCAGACTGTGGTAGAGGTGCTTGACCCACGAGAACCTTCAGACTGTGGTAGAGGTGCTGGACCCAGGAGAACCTTCAGACTGTGGTAGAGGTGCTTGACCCCACGAGAACCTTCAGACTGTGGTAGAGGTGCTTGACCCAGGAGAACCTTCAGACTGTGGTAGAGGTGCTTGACCCACGAGAACCTTCAGACTGTGGTAGAGGTGCTTGACCCACGAGAACCTTCAGACTGTGGTAGAGGTGCTGGACCCAGGAGAACCTTCAGACTGTGGTAGAGGTGCTTGACCCACGAGAACCTTCAGACTGTGGTAGAGGTGCTTGACCCACGAGAACCTTCAGACTGTGGTAGAGGTGCTTGACCCACGAGAACCTTCAGACTGTGGTAGAGGTGCTGGACCCAGGAGAACCTTCAGACTGTGGTAGAGGTGCTTGACCCCACGAGAACCTTCAGACTGTGGTAGAGGTGCTTGACCCAGGAGAACCTTCAGACTGTGGTAGAGGTGCTGGACCCACGAGAACCTTCAGACTGTGGTAGAGGTGCTGGACCCACGAGAACCTTCAGACTGTGGTAGAGGTGCTTGACCCACGAGAACCTTCAGACTGTGGTAGAGGTGCTGGACCCAGGAGAACCTTCAGACTGTGGTAGAGGTGCTTGACCCACGAGAACCTTCAGACTGTGGTAGAGGTGCTTGACCCAGGAGAACCTTCAGACTGTGGTAGAGGTGCTTGACCCCACGAGAACCTTCAGACTGTGGTAGAGGTGCTGGACCCACGAGAACCTTCAGACTGTGGTAGAGGTGCTGGACCCACGAGAACCTTCAGACTGTGGTAGAGGTGCTGGACCCAGGAGAACCTTCAGACTGTGGTAGAGGTGCTTGACCCCACGAGAACCTTCAGACTGTGGTAGAGGTGCTTGACCCACGAGAACCTTCAGACTGTGGTAGAGGTGCTGGACCCACGAGAACCTTCAGACTGTGGTAGAGGTGCTGGCTCCGGCGGGAGAGGCCAGCTGGTGGCCAGGGAGACGAGTGAGGTGGCTGACTATCACAAAGGCACAAAGGAAGAATGGCCCTTCGCTGATAGCATTGTGTGACGATGATAACATTGTGGGTGATAATATTGGCTGCGAGATCTGTGATTCATTGCTCTCTGTGTGTCTGTCTGTATGGCCGTGTCTGTCTGTGTGTTTGTCTCAGTGTGTACGTGTGTGTGTAATTACCTAAGTGTAGTTACAGGATGAGAGCTACGCTCGTGGTGTCCCGTCTTCCCAGCACTCTTTGTCATATAACGCTTTGAAACTACTGACGGTCTTGGCCTCCAACAACTCACTTAACCTGATCCAACCGTCTACCACTCTGTTTACAAAAGAAAACTTGTCTAATGTTTTTTCGGCACTATTGTTTCCTTAACTTGAATCTGTGTCCTCTTGTTCGTGATGTTGCTACTCAGGAATTCCTCTTTGTCAATTTGGTCGATACCTGTTAGAATTTTTTATGTGATGATCATTTCACCTCATTTTCTTCTATCTTCTAGTTTTGGCAAGTTTAATGTCTGTAGTCTCTCCTCGTAACTCTTGTTTTTCAGTTCCAGAAGTCATTTTGTAGCATACCACTGCACCTTTTCCAGTTTCTTTAAGTACTTCTTAAGATTAGGGCACCATACAACTGCTGCATATTCCCATTTTGGTCTCACAAAGGTCATGAACAGTTTCTTTAGTATTTCACCATCCATATAATTAAAAACAAGTTTGAAGTTGGAAAGCGACACACACGCTCCTCTCACAATGTTCTTTATGTGTTCCTCTGGCGACAGTTTACTATCCAACACCACCCCAGGTCTCCTTCTTTATCAGAGTTCTGTAATTCCTTTCCACATAATTTGTAAGTTCTGTGTGGTCTATTTTCTCCGATTCCACATTCCATAGCACAGCATTTATTCACATTGAATGCGATTTGCCATTTTACGCTCCAAGCACTAACTTTATCTACATCCATTTAAAGGGCATTACAATCGTCTGCGTCTCATGTCTTCCTCAGTGTCTTACCATCATCCGCAAACATGTTCAAATAGTTCTGTATTTCTTCTTGTAGATGGTTTATGTAGACGATGAATGTTACTGGTGCAAGAACCGAACCCTGTGGTACTCCCCTAGTAACACTCCAATCAGATACATTGTCTCTGATGCAGATGATAAGTCACAATAACGTGGCTGAAAAATGTTGACCAAACCACACACTAGAAAGTGAAGAGATGACGTCGTTTCGGTCCGTCCTGGACCATTATTAAGTTGATTGTGAAGAGACGAGTTCTTGTTGTTGTTGTTTAAGATTCAGCTTCTGGGAACAAAACGTTCCAAGCAGCACGGGAGATTCCATAGGACAGCCACCGCCCGCCTCAAGCTGGGCATCCCCCAGCCAATAAGGTGCTGTCCCGCCACGGTCCGCCTGCTCCACTGGGTGCCTGGGGCCAGATTCACGAAAGAACTTACGCAAGCTCTTTGTTACGGACCCGGATCCAGCGTCCGAGCACGGAGCAGTGACGACCGCGCCATCTAAGGGTCAGCTCCCGAAACCCCCTCCAAACGGACGACGACACCTGGTGAGGACGACGAGTACTGGCTACGAGGGCCAGTTTCCAGTCCCGTTCAGCACTCAACACCGCCGCCGCTGACCTCTGGTGAGGTGGTGCTCAGACTACAACGCCATCTATGGAGTGGATATGTCGGGCGTTTGTGTCTGAGCCTGTAAGTGAGGTGTTTTAGTGTCCCTGTTATTGATGACGTGTCTGCTTACAGAGTCGACCTGGGACTGCTGTGTTGGAAGTTGAGTCAGTCTACCCAAGGCAGCCGTCCCCATACCTTGTGCTTTGCTGCAGCAGCTGTGAAGTCGTCCCCCGGAAGAACACTGTGGTGTTACCCTGTCAGTGGAGTGGCAGTAGAAGGATTACCCGGGACCGACTGCTTGAGACGATTATCCACTGGGGTACTGAGGACAGGAGAGTGATTTGTGGTATCACACGAGGCTCCTGACTAGGGCGCTACCCTAGTATCGCTCGTGGAGTGGCCTGACCAGCCTTGCTGATCCGGAACCTGCCAGCAGACCTGCTGGACTTGTGGTTGACGGCCTCCACGGCGGTGCCCCCAGTGGAACTGTGTTTTGGCTGGCCTGTGTTTGGGGTAGACTCAGCTTGGTCGAAGGATTCGTCAAGAGACCACGAAAGCACCGATAGTCTGGATCCAGAGTCTTCAGCAGAAGACGATTGTGTATTTCCCCTGTACAGTGTTAATACCCCTCCCCCTGTGCACTCTTTTATATATATTATTTATTTGGTGATGGTAACAATAATAATCTTAAGTTTTTGCCTTTATTTCCCTTCCCCTTTAAGTTACTTGCATCACGGATCACATCCCTTGAAAGCCACTACTGGCTTGGGGTCGGATACAACTTCCTCTAACAACATCAGAGTAAGAACCCCGTTGCGTCCCGAGAGGGCCGTAACACTCTTACAAACGTGTACATCTTTCCTCAATCTTTGACGGCTTTGGTTGTATTTATTAAACAGTTTACAAGCATGAAAACTTCCCAATCAACTGTTGTTATTGTTATAAACAGCCTCCTGGTGCTTCGGAGCTCATTAATTTTTTAATAATTGAAAACAAAGGTGCCATAGATTGAGAAAAGATGTACAGGTTCGTAAGTGCTTGCGTAAGTGCTTTCGTGAATCTGGCACCTGGGGTTTAGGCCACAATCCAATAAACGGATCGTCAACCCATGCACCAGGCAAAAGAAAACAAACACAGAGCTCTCAAACTGGGCACATGGAATGTAAGGACTATGACACCGGGTCTCTCGGAAGATCTACTGGAAGGGAACGACGCCCGCAAGACAGCTGTGATCAACAATGAACTACGCAGGCGTAGTTGGACTTGGAATGGAAGGTCTCCAGGCATAGTTGGACTCTGAATGGTAGGTCTCCCATTGATCACTTTCTTGTTGATGAAGATCCAACTGGTCAGATCTGATGGGGTATAACACTATCAGTGATGGTGACGACGTGTCATCGTCACCTTCACTATACTTCACTCACCACTTGCTGCTGCCGGTGGGAACATGAGCCTCCCTAGACCTCATCTACACTACGAGGAGGACACGGCTCCATCACCTAGGTTATCTTAAATACCTGATTAATGAATACTTGGTAATACTCATATTACAACTGATGCATTTGCCTGCACTAACCGTCAGGGTAACTTACATCAGGGCTAGGTATCATCAGGGCTAGGTATCATCAGGGCTAGGTATCACCAGGGCTAGGTATCATCAGGGCTAGGTATCACCAGGGCTAGGTATCATCAGGGCTAGGTATCATCAGGGCTAGGTATCATCAGGGCTAGGTATCATCAGGGCTAGGTATCATCAGGGCTAGGTATCACCAGGGCTAGGTATCATCAGGGCTAGGTATCACCAGGGCTAGGTATCACCAGGGCTAGGTATCATCAGGGCTAGGTATCACCAGGGCAAGGGATCATCATGGTTAGGTATCACCAGGGCTAGGTATCATCAGGGCTAGGTATCACCAGGGCTAGGTATCATCAGGGCTAGGTATCACCAGGGCTAGGTATCATCAGGGCTAGGTATCACCAGGGCAAGGGATCATCATGGTTAGGTATCACCAGGGCTAGGTATCACCAGGGCTAGGTATCAACAGGGCTAGGTATCATCAGGGCTAGGTATCACCAGGGCAAGGGATCATCATGGTTAGGTATCACCAGGGCTAGGTATCACCAGGGCTAGGTATCACCAGGGCTAGGTATCATCAGGGCTCAGTATCACCAGGGCTAGGTATCATCAGGGCTCAGTATCATCAGGGCTAGGTATCATTAGGGCTAGGTATCATCAGGGCTAGGTACCATTAGGGCTAGGTATCACCAGGGATAGGTATCATCAGGGCTCCGTATCACCAGGGCTAGGTATCACCAGGGCAAAGGTATCATCAGGGCTAGGTATCACCAGGGCTCAATATCATCAGGTCATAGTGTCATTAGGGCTCAGTATCATCACGGCTCGGTATCAACAGGACTCAGTATCATCTGGGCTCAGTATCAACAGGGCTCAGTATCACCAGGGCTAGGTATCACCAGGGCTGGGTATCATCAGGGCTCAGTATCATCAGGGCTATGTATCACCAGGGCTAGGTATCATCAGGGCTCAGTATCACCAGGACTCAGTATCATCAGGGCTAGGTATCACCAGGGCTAGGTATCATCAGGGCTCAGTATCACCAGGGCTAGGTATCATCAGGGCTCAGTATCACCAGGGCTCAGTATCACCAGCGCTCAGTATCATCAGGGCTCAGTATCACCAGGGCTCAGTATCATCAGGGCTCAGTATCAACAGGGCTCAGTATCATCAGGGCTCAGTATCACCAGGGCTCAGTATCATCAGGGCTCAGTATCATCAGGGCTAGATATCACCAGGGCTCAGCATCACCAGGGCTCAGTATCATCACGGCTCAGTATCATCAGGGCTCAGTATCACCAGGGCTCAGTGTCATCAGGGCTCAGTATCACCAGGGCTCAGTATCATCAGGGCTCAGTATCACCAGGGCTCAGTATCATCAGGGCTCAGTATCACCAGGGCTCAGTATCACCAGGGCTAAGTATCACCAGGGCTCAGTATCATCAGGGGCTCACTATCATCAGGGCTCAGTATCATCAGGGCTCAGTATCATCAGGGCTCAGTATCATCAGGGTTCAGTATCATCATTGCTCAGTATCATCGGGGGCTCAGTATCATCAGGGCTTATTATCATCAGGGGCTCAGCTAGAATCATCAGGGCTCAGTATCATTAGGGCTCAGTATCGATCATCAGGGGCTCAGTATCATCAGGGCTAGTTATCATCAGGGCTCAGTATCACCTGGGCTCAGTATCATCAGGGCTCAGTATCATCAGGGCTCAGTATCTTCAGGGCTCAGTATCACCAGGGCTCAGTATCATCAGGGCTCAGTATCATCAAGGCTCAGTATCATCAGGGCTCAGTATCATCAGGGCTCAGTATCATCAGGGCTAGGTATCACCAGGGCTCAGTATCATCAGGGCTAGGTATCACCAGGGCTAGGTATCATCAGGGCTCAGTATCATCATGGCTCGGTAGCACCAGAGCTCAGTATCATCAGGGCTAGGTATCACCAGGGCTAGGTATCATCAGGGCTCAGTATCACCAGGGCTAGGTATAATCAGGGGTCAGTATCACCAGGGCTAG